GATTGTTATAAGAAACACAACTAGGAGCAATTACTATTTTGTTTCAGAGAATAACCATCCCTCCAGTAGTTGATAAGTCCCTGTCCATTATTTAAAATGTGTCACAGCTTCACCTCTTGGACAGTGATAAAGTTAGGCCATGAAAATCAATCTGGTTTTGCTTCCATGCTAAAATTCCCATGCAGCTTCTACTTTTTATGCCTCTATTTTTCCCTGTAAGACTGTGCAACACTGCCAAACGCTTCTGTGTACTTAAAGATAGTCCTAAACCAGTAACATGGCTTTTAATTGGTAAAAAGTCTAGTAGCACATTTTGTATATTTAATCTTCTCTTCAGCTGTTCTCTTTCTCCTTTTTGTGTGGATTGTAAAATCCTACTGTTTCATTTATTTGACTATATCCACACACACACATATGTGTAAATATATATATATATATATATATATATATATATATATATATATATATATATATATATAAATATATATATATATATATATAGTTCATGACCCATATAATGTATGTTGACCAAAAATTTGTCTTATGTTTACCTACAAATTACCTTATTTGTTTTCTGCAGAATTCACTTAGATATGCAAAAAATAAATATCATTTTTTTATATATACAAACACACAAGAAATGGCTTATTATGTGTTCTTTTGCCTGCATAAAAGCAGAGGAGCCTTTTTAAATTATGACCACTGTAACTAGTGTTATGTCTTCCGAGTTGCGTGAGAGATCTTGTGACATACACAGCTGCTTTGGCTGTATGACTTCAAAAGACCCCAGCGACAATTTCACCTCCATGTGTCAACTTGTGAAATATGAAATGTTTGACTTTTTCTTGCAGAGTGTTATTTTTGAATAAACACAAGGTACCGCTGTTTTCTGTCTCTCGCTTACTTCCTCTCTGTATATCTTCTGTTTTGTTTTGCAGATCCAGATCTGGTCACCATCTCCACCACTGTCTCATCTGAGCCAGAGAAAAAGGAAACATAGACAATGGTCAGGTGCTGTTGCTATGCATGAAGGACCACTGTTATGTCAATGGAGACAGACGGCTATCGTGACCTCCTGGAGACCAGTGATGGTCAGGGGGTTGGCCTGCTGGATGGCGGGGGAGAGGTGGGCGTGGAGGAGGGCTGGAACACACCCTATCCTTTTGGTTTCCAGGTGTCACTGACCACTGTCCTCGTACTGGAACTGGTGTTGGGCTTCAGCAGCAATCTGACAGTACTTGTTCTCTATTGTGCCCAGTCCAACCTGGTAGATTCCGTCAGCAACCTCGTGACCGTCAACCTCCATGTGCTCGACATACTGGTCTGTGTGCTCTGCTTGCCACTGACAGTGGCTGTGATCCTGGTACCAGCGAATGAAAATGGGCTTAACAGCTTGGCTACACTTTGCTGCTTCCATGAAGCTTGTGTCACATTCACAAGTGTGGCTACAGCAGTTAATGTATTGGTGATCAGTTTGGACAGATATGACATCTCGGTACGTCCAGCCAGTCGTTTGCTGACCCCTAGGCGTGCTGCATTGCTCCTAGCAGCAGTTTGGGCCATCTCTCTGGCTGTTTTCTTCCTGCCCTTCCTTGAAGGGGACTTCTTCTCTTCATTGGCTAAGGATACTGAGGATGAAGAGCTGGATAGGAAGAGTAATGACTCAGAGCTCACTACTGAACATACCCCCATTTTTTCATCCTTCTCTCCTTCTTTATTGCCCTCCACCATTCCCTCCTCTTCCTCACACTCCATGCCACCTGTATGGCAAAACAGGACATTGTTATGTGTTGGAGGACAGGGGTATTACACTGGTATGGCAATGTATTATCACTTGTTACTCCAAGTACCTTGTTTCTTTATAGCTGTTGCAGTCATGCTGTTCACCTACTCCAGGATCCTGCAGGCCCTCAACATCCGCATAGGTTCCCATATGATGAGGAACACACGGTCAAAGGACTCCACCTGCAGGATACGTTGCAGAAGGAAGAGGAGGAGAGAACTAAGCCTGCCAACAGAAGCAGTGTCCAACCAAAATCAAAACCCCAGTAACCCGTCCCATACCCCCTCTGGTGCCCCTACTCCAACATCACCTCCATCAGTACTTTCAATGCCCCCTGGGATGTCTGATAGTGGGGCTACAGTAACTACTGTCAGCACTGCTGCAACCACCCCTATTGCAACCACCCCAGCTACCCCAGCTTCTCCAACTCCACCTTCAGCTCCAGTTCGAACCCATGCCTCCACACCTTTGCCCGCTTCATCTGTTGGTGTGCAGGCTTCAGTTTCAGCTATCATTGCTTTGAGAAGGGCAGTGCGCAGGCACAGGGACAGACGCGAACGGCAGCGTCGCGTCCTGAAGATGTCTTTAATCATTATATCTACCTTCCTGGGCTGTTGGGCCCCTCTGTCTGCAGTAAACGTACTGATCCTTTGCATGGGTCCCAGTGACGGCCTGGTTGAGCTGCGTTTGTGCTTTTTGGCCATGGCTTATGGGACGACCATTTTTCACCCTCTGCTCTATGCTTTCACAAGGCAGAAACTGCGGCGTGCCCTCAAGACACGTGTAAAGAAAAGGGTAGTATCACTTCTGCAGGTGGACCCAGCTCCCAGTGGGGGGACTGTGATTCATAACTCTTGGGTTGAGGGGGGAGGCCAGAGAAAAGGCCGTAAGTCACGGGTGGAGGCTAGTGATGGCACTGATCGATGTCTCACCGAAGCCGTGAGAGAATGAAGCTGGGTCTTTAAAGAGCAGCTGTGCGTTAGAGAACATTGTGCAGGTTCAAAAAAATGTATCTTAAGTAAGAAACTGATTGAGATGGATTGCTTGTATATTTGTGAGTAGTTTGTAGGACAAATGAGCAGGATATAGTTTACAAAGGTCATAAAAAACTTTTACTCTCCAGTTTTTCATAAGATTGGGAACCAGGAGAGTTTTAATCTCTTATGAGAGCTTGCTTTTTGCTCTCCTTACATATGCCCTTACAAATCCACCTCTTACTGCCACTAGGCAAATGCTATAACAAACCACTCTGATTGCTAGTGTGATCCCTTCATGTAATGTAAGGGTTAAATATCTGCAATGGCATACAAATCAGTATTGCTCCTCTGCGCACTTTTATCTGCATGTGCATGTATATATGCACAATTGAAAACACAAAAGCAAAGCCCCACACACACAGACAAACACTCAGTGCACACTTACGTACATATAGTCACTCTCTGTGAAAGCACACAAATATCTACCTGCACAGGTGTTCTCAGTGATGAAAACATTTCTGAAAACGTTTTTTTTTTATTTCATTATTTCATGCCTTAAATGAGTTGTTTGTATATTGTCATGGTGCTGAATGTCTGGCTGTATGTTTACAATATTGTTATTAAACCAGAGAAAATAAAATCTTTGCAGTGACTGCAAAAAGTATAGCAAAGTAGTGCACTAATCAGGGATAACATTATGACCACCAACAGATGATATGAACCTGAAAGATTTTCCCCTTGTCATCGTACCTGTTATTTAGTGTATTCTCTGATACAGTCTACACAAAATGCATGTAAAAACACACATCCATTTTCATCCTTATCTGAGATTAAATAAAACAAGATTTTTAGACCAGGCAGTTTGGAACAATACATTTAACTTCTCAGCCATATTAAGGCATTTATTTTAATAATTCATGATTAAAGACATGATTCTGTTTGGGTTGTAAGGTATACAACTGCATCCTGCAGTAAATCACCCAAAACATGATGCTGTCGCTCTTCCTCATAGTGAAGATGGTTTAACCTCTAAGTATCTTCTTTTTTGTTTCCAATGTAACAATTTTCCTAAAGAGAAACACTTTAATTTTCATTACATTATTTTGATATCAGTGTAAAATATGGTTTTCTGTGTACACATATCTGGTTCTAAATGTATTAGGCAATAATGTGGAGGTATTTTCTCAAAGTTAATGTGTCAGAAGGGAAATGCGAAAGGTTTTGAATGAGTTTAAAAAAGGACATATTTGGATCTCTAGGCATATAGTAGACTATAGGCATATATGATAAAATAATGCCATTACCACCTACGGAGTATTATTTTGTTATTGTTTTTGTTATTTTATACCAACCCAGAAAAAAAAAACTCTTCATTTCAAATAAAAATGTCTCTCCCCATTTGGGTGCCATCCATTTTAGGAAGTTGCTGTGTTACATCAATTCTGAAGGCTGAACAAAGTCCAAGACCTCTCTGAGCTAAACAACAGATTTTCACGACTTGGACATTGCTAAGAAAATAACATCTGCTGTCCCTCTTCAGATTCAGATTCACCCCTTCTCGATTGGAAAAAAGTGGTTGTTTGTTTACAGTGTAGGCAGAGCATTGTCACAGTAGGTGTTTCTTAGAGGGGACAGGTTAACACTTTCCTGCAAAAGACCATAATGGTTACTTGTTATTTACAGCATATTTAAGGGCTGGTGCTGTGAGAGCAGAATTCATGAGGATTACTCAAACATACATCAAACATAATACCACTTTGTACATGATTTTGATTAATGAATAGCATTGCAATATATTTAAAAGCTTACCAAAACTTGATTTTGCATGATATAGGTCCTTTAAATGAAAGGGAGAGAACATTTTCAAAACGGCAGCCTGTGCTATTTGCTGTGTGTATCAAAAGTCATTTATGGGTTGGGAATAGATGGCGCATAGCTGTATTGCAGGCGCTATACATATTATGAAGAGACACAGCTGTTTGAGGTTTAACACTCCGCTTTGGAACCTTTGCTGTGTATTTTTATTTTTTTTTTTTTGTTCTATATTTCACCTTCTCTCCATCTGATGTCTGATTATAATCAATAACATGGTAAGGGGAAAAAAAAATCTCTTTAAAGAGGTGTCAGTAGTGCACTGGATAAAGGATAATGGCCTCCATGGCTTAATGGTGTAAATGAGGAGTGTTGTTGAAGGAGTTAATGTTGACTCTGTTACAAAAAGCATACATAGCTGTCAGTGTGCCCATGCTGGTCATAATGATATGCCTCAGTGTTAATTAAAAGCATAGAAATTAAAAGTTTACATATGCATAAAATTACATAAAATTACCAGGAAAAAGCAAAAACAAAAGGAAAAAACAAAGAAAGATATGATTGAACTCTACTTTAATTCTTACTTTGTAACTTTTTAAGGAAAATGTGTACAGGTACAGCTGAGAGGCATGTTTCTGTTTTTTAACATGAGTTCCAAACGTTATAGTGAAAACAGGTTGTGTGATCGTGTCAGTATGTTTGCACATTTGCAGGATGTGTAAATGAAGACCTGTATGTGTTTTAGCCAATAATTATGTGCAATAAAACACAAGCAAATCAATGGTCCCCACTTAGAATGTGAACAGAGTGACTGTTTTGGGGTTTTTTTCTTTTTTTTTTATCAAGGTTTTAGAAAAGTACAAAAAGAAAGGGACTTTGGCTTATTTTAACAGCAGGATGCTGGATATTAGAATTATATAAATACATATGTGGGCCGTTTTTGTTACTATGTGTATATGAAAATTCACTATAGTACTACTATAATAGCATCACTGCAGTTTTAAAGAGGGAATTAAAGGGCAATATTTTGTAAAAAAAAAATTAACATTAAAAATGTCTTTGAAGCCAGTGCAGATTAACTAGCAGCATAAACATGAGAAAAAACCCCAACAACCTCTAACATGGGACAGCTCCTCATGTTATCTCTTAGTTGCTCTGGATGGCAGCTGTGGGAGAGTATTTTCAATGATGACAAACAAAAACAGCCTCTGGACTAAGACCTGAACACGTTACACAATACAGTCTCTTTTTCTCCTCAGGGTTTCGTGTCTCATTTTTCCAACTCTCTGGACAAAAAAAAAAAAGAAAACAACAAAGAACTAATAATAACAACAACAACCAGCCCTCAGTCTACTGTTGTGTTATGGATGTTAGAATAGGTCACAGTTTGTGTCACCAGAGTTCACTTTTTATGAACTGAAGACTTTAAAGTTTCCTTTAGCCTTGGGCTTTATTATTCTCACCCTTCTTACAAACGACTTGTGAGCCAAATTGGAAGAAAATTACCCTTGTGTATTCATGTACATTTTCAGGGATGTAAATACTTAACTGTTTGTTTTGTGTTTTTGTCAGAAATCCCCTTTCCTTAGATAGCTATCATCTGCAGGACAGAAAACCATTGTGAAAAACTCTTATCAAGCAGGAGAGTTATAAAATAGAAACATGTAAGAGTATTTGTTTTAAAAATGTATGTGTATACACTGTAATTTACATTTATGACCATATGTATAGAGAACTATTAGAATTGTAGAAGATTTATAATATGTGCTATTGTATAGAAATAAATGAAATCTGTATTAAAACGTCTATATCAGTGTACTGTGTCTATCCGTGTGTGATTGATTTTATTATAAGGGAAATACTTTAGTAATTTAACATGAAAGATTATTCTCTATTTCCTGCTTCTTTGCCTTGAGGTGCAATAGTTAAATCTATGAAACCTTTTTGTGCTGCTTGCAACACATTCTGGCGCTTCCATCTGAATGTTGAAGTGTATATCATGACACATGGGATAATTTGCCTTTTTGATCTATTACTGTATATCACTTTAGTGAGCTTTTAATTGCAGCCTAAGTTTCTGCTGACTGACACTATGTTAATTTTTTTTTCTAACAGTAGATTATTTGTGAAGAATATGATTACTATGATATGATTACCACTGCTTGTCAGGTGCAAAGAGTCCTCCAAGTGGATAAGCATCGACACATGGTTGATTGGAAAGGTATCATAACAGAGATTTCCTATTGAAGAAAAGTCAGGTCTGGAACAACAAAAACTACAAGCTTAATAAATGACAAATTAGCAAAAAAAAATGACGAATGAAAAAAAAGAAAGGCAATAAAAAGAAATATGACACTGTTTTATGATGTTAAAACTTAAATCATTTCTTTATTCAGGCATTCCTCTTTTTTATTACTCCATTTTCTCTGATCCCTAAATTTAGAAACTCTGTCCCAGATAAGTGAAACATTTTAGTGCTGACTGGAGAAAAACCCTCACTATGACACACGGTTGTGTGACAACTGTGCTAATCACCAGTAATAAAGATGAAACATGTTAGTAAGGTGACCATCTGTGGTTGCAGCTTTTGATTGGGAGAAATCTAGTGTCACATGCGTTGCATATGTGCGTACAATTGTTGTTCTTTAAGGTACTTATAGTGGATGGTTAAAGCTGTCGATCCTTCCAACCTGCTTGATAGTCTCATCAGATCTTCTCCCTCTCTTTTATATTATGAGTCTCTTCTCTTGGCCCTCCCTCTCTTTCTGCTGCTGCTCTGCCTCTCTCTCATCTTTTATCCATACTCAGGCCTTCCAGAACAAAAAGTGAAGATAGCTGCAGTGTCTGTGAAGGAAGGAAAGTCACCTTGGAGGGGGGGTGACAACAGGAACAGAAATGTGAGCAAGAGAATGAGGCAATATGGAGGGGAGATTACTGGGGAAAATAGAAAAGAGAAGAGAGGCATAGAAGCTGGCATACAGACATCATATGACTAATAAAAGGAAGGCACTGCATCAATGCAACACAGCTAGAGAAAAAAAAAAAAAAGCAAATGCAAATAGAAAGATTATATTATCAGTTTAGTGTTTTCCATAGCTGTGGAAAGTAATTCATTGTCAATCTTTTTTTTTTTTTTTTGTGAAAACATCTGCCTATTTTGGTGTCTTCCAAGGGTATACAATAAAACTCTTTAGTTCAAAGAGTACAAAATCTACTGCAATTTTCAGCCATCATCTGAATTCCAGAATTTCTAAGAGTAGGACCTAACTTTTTTTTATTTCTCTTTGTTTTAGGGCAAGAATAAGCACAGTTTCTCAGAGGACTTTTTTATTTACTGTTATTCTAAAGTTGACCCACAAACAAGCTAGATAACTAAACTAGATACATTGCTCAGGGACATATTGCCCAGGACAGTCCAAGGTTTAAGCGAATGCTCAAGACATCATGGCAA